GAGGTTTATAAAGCAGTTAAAATCAATTAAAATTACAATATAAAATAATCCTAAATAAATAGGAAATAAATACAATCCAAGGATTAGGTGTGAAAATTGGCAGTAACTCGGGGAGCATCAAGGAGTGTTCCTTGACCTGGCCCTTTTTGAAGGGCTGATACCTACAGATTAAGAACGGCAACCGTTCAACAATAGCAAGTCTCTGGGCATCCAAGATCCCGCAGCTCAATATGCCGTCAAGAGGCAAGAGTGGTTTGAAAAAGATGAATTATGAACTAAAACCAGGCAAGCACTTAACTCCTGGTGATGTCAGGAGTGGTCTGCCATTGTTGAACTCTTGCCACTGTCTTTTTCCATGATGGGCTTCAACAGCCTATCCTTCACCCTGCAATTTCCTGCTGGTCTCCTATTCAAGTACTAACCAGTCCCAACCTTGCTTAGCTTCAACCAGGTGTGGGCACCTGCTGAGCTCTTTAATCAAACGATCAACAATCCTCCTGCAAATTACAGAATCAGCCCGTTCCACTTCGTGGAAGTCTCTGAAAAGAGAAAAAAAATGCTCCAGTTTGCCTCTCCGGTCTAGGCACGGTGTCCATAGTGAAATAGGCTGAAGCACTCGGCCGAAGGTGGCCAAGGATAAACAAGGAAGCTAGAGCATTTAGAAGCATTTCTCCTTCCCGCTCTTAGCACGGAAGGACTTTCACGACCAAGCCAGACCGCGAGCGTCGAAATGTCACCTGAAGAAACCCGCGCGCCAGTCTTGAGATAGGAGGGAGGGAGGGCGCTGGCGTTCCCGCTCGTCCGAAGGGGGCCGGGATCCCTTTACCTTCCAAGCCAGGTTGCAGTCGAAGTCTCGACACCGCAAAAAGCGGACCAGATCGGCGTCAGAAAGTTCGGACTGCCGGACCTGCAAATTCTCTTCCACAGTTTTGCGCCTTAGCGCTGCAATAGCGGCTCTCACGTGGGGAGAGTCGTCCGGCAACTCGTTGAAGTTAACCGGCGGGGAACGAGGCTTCTCTTGGTCCATGACGAGAGGAAGGAAGGGGCTTACAAAACCACTAGCCCAGAACTACTGGGAGAGGAGAGGAGAGGAAAGGAGAGCTACAGCTAGAGGAAAAAAGTAGCAACTGGCACAGCCAAGAAAAGCTCCCAAGTCCATTGCGAAAACAAACGGATCTCGATGCCCCTCCCCATGGCAAAGAACAATTAAAGCACCAGGCAATGCCTAACCTCTCGGCCACTCCACTGTCAGCTCGTGCAATCAAGGCAGACAGGGGTGCCGCGCCTTGCGCAATCCGAACAGCACTGTGGGTAAAGGAGGACCTCCACTGGGGGAGTCGAGCCCGGCCGTCGGCGAACTCCAAGGCTACCGCGGGCGCAGGAAGCGAAGTCAGCTTCTTAGTCAACTTTTCGCTGGGTAGCTGCGCCGATCACGGTAGCATGAAATCGCTGCCCCTGAATCACGGAAGTTTTCGTCGCTCAGAAAGCTAACCCAGAAGGTGCTCTGCTTGATTTCGGCTTACGGGGTTGTGTGGCTTATTCATTAAACCGTGGTTGGCTAAACTATGGCCGTGCACTGCAGCCAATATGTGTCTGTTATATTCAAGATCTCTTTGAGTGGCACTCAGGGCTTAATCACTGTTGAGGTATCAAGATCTAACTCTTCTCACAGGGCATGTATCATGACCTGTGTCACACTTGGACCCAAACTTAAGCCAATTTTTTTTTAAAGTGCTCTATCTACCATAACACGCAAAGTCCTATGTTTAGAGCAGGGAGAAAAGTTATGTGGGAGAGAACTGAGAGTCCCATAACACGCTAAGCCACACAACCAAGGCCCATATTTTGGCTTAGCACAATTAGTGAAGTGTGCTACTGTGCCCACACTTATATAGCCATGCAGAGATAGGAAATGATGCAAATTTTCATGGTTTGTTTTTGGAATGGTCAGAATCACAAGTGTGATACTATAAATTGAGGCAAAATTAGAAAAATGTGGATTTGTGAACCAGATGATCTCTAAGATCGCTTTCAACTCGCATTCTATGGTCTGTTGTCTCCTATGCATGAAGTCTCATTATAATGTAATTCCCACTTTCTTTCTAGCAGTTTTATAACCATAAACAATAGGCATAGCCTATGTTATTGACTCTCAAAATAAGCATTCCAAATAACAGTTGAGGAACTCTATCATAGTTTGGATTAGAAAACCCAAATTAATTGTCAAGCACTTCCAGATGATATGAACTGCATCTTGATGTGTTTAAATGGTAAAAATAATGAAGCCCTAAAATAAAAGCTTTCACATCAGTCTGATGCTACATTTGAAGCATCAGTAAATAAAATGAAGACAGTATTTCATTTATTTTATCTTATTCAGAAAACATTTTAAGACTATAAAAGTACCCAAAGTGGGCATATTAAATGAATCAAACCATTAATAAATCATAATTGATAAATTACCCAGACCTAGATATTCGTTTCTTTTTTAGAATTGATCAGAGACCTAGTTTTGTTAAAGCAACCTTCATATGGTTAAATAGAGTTTCCTATCAGCCTATATAGATCTAATTAACCACTGCTAGATTAAAAAGTCATTAATACATATTAAAACATTTTTAATTTTTTAAAAATAAACTGGAAAAAAATCACCAACAAATCTTTCTGTGGCTTCTCTGATAATTTCTAAGGACAAAAACCCCCCACTCTTAGTTGTTTTGGAACTATTCATGGTGCTTTGTTTAACTTTGGAGCTAAGACTCAACTGGTTGTTTAGCTTTAAGTTGTTCAAACCATAATGGATCTTTTGCCTGTTGCTTTGATCTTATCTCCCATAACACTAAGCTTTTTTACAGTTGTAGTGTTTAATGGCTTAATCCAGTGTTTCTCAACCTTAGCAACCTTAAGATGTCTGGATTTCAACTCCCAGCATTCCCCAGCCAGGGGAATGATGGGAGTTGAAGTCCAGACATCTTAAAATTGCTAAGGCTGAGAAACACTGGATTAATCACTGACAAATTGACAATAAAGTATCTATAAAAAAAAAAAAAAGCTGGCCTCCACATAAGCTTTTTGAAAGGACTGGGGAAACCAGAAACTGTTATCCCAATTTATCCAATTAGTTTTATTGTAATTTTCAGGCAAAAAGACTCCAAAAATTTACCAAAATAATTTGTAAAATATTTCCTATCCTCAGATTTATCTTTTAAACAAAGATGAGCAATAAATAGATAAGAAATTACTGGTGGAATCTTGCTGTAGCTTAGCAAGGATGAGCCAAAGGATGTGCTATGCTTTATGGCTGATTTTTTTTCTCTCTCTCTGAATTGTTGATCATGATTGAGCAGCTTTTGCATTCCAGACAAAAGCTGAGAATTTCTCTAATTTAAGAGACTATGTATTCATTCAAATTCATTATGTTCAGACAAAAATGAGGAAAAAGCAAATAAAAGTCCAAATGGGTTCCATAACTCTTTGCCAAATTCTTAAAACATTTCCCTACATCTGTACATTTTCTGTTACTTTATGACTGTGTGCTCAATCTGGCAATCTCTAGTTTATACCTCTGGGAGTCATACTCAGAATTCTTTGCGTTTTTTGCAACTGTCAGGCTTTTTCTGCTCCATCAGCTTCTCCATGTTGACGATATTGTTAGTAGTGAGCGCACCTGGGAGAAAATGATGTAATACATAATGGAGAGAAGAAAGGGTGAAGAATTCTGTTTTTTCTTTTAAATATAGTAATATACATATTAATGTGCATACTCTGTTGTAAAAGGCAGCACAGAGGGGAAAATAGTAAGTAGGACCATTCTATCAGCTTTGCCAAAAGAACTGGCTAATTGGGCTACTTCTGGAGCAGATTTTTAACTAGATTGGTGATGTTGGTAAAGACAGGGGTTGTTGTTTTTTTTTTGCTTTGCTGAAAAAAGTACAGTGGTACCTCTAGTTACGAACTTAATCCGTTCTGTGACTCTGGTTGCAACTCGAG